TGCCATCCGTTAGGAGAAACTTCTTCAAATCAGTAAAAATAGAATTATTATTTATTATTTAATTGCTGGTTTGCATTATGAGTTCAGCCTTAGAGAACCTTGTTGCAAGCTGAATTAATGTTAATGTTTTGACAATTAATTGTTCATCAACGGTTTACCAATAGACCATTTTGAAGGATGTAAACTAACAATGGTCCAAACGTATTTCCTGAGTTTATTTTTTTTCTTCCATAGCTTTTGAGAGTCCGGAAAGGTCCACATTGATAAACATTACCACAGCTGTTTTAACATTTGGATATGATTCAATTACCTCATGTTACAGTTATTAAATTAGTTTGGTGCATGAAAATTTCTGCTTGTTGTCAATGACATGACCACATTGAAATGGTGTAAGTTTTATTTATAGAATTTCAAAATGGTTCAAACATCTTGTGGTTGTGTGTGCATGTATATATTAAACTAATGATTAGATTAGGGCACCAATTGCATGATCTGAGGTCACAATTTAATTGCATGGATTAAATCCTTTGCCTTTCTGTAATGTGTATTTTATTTTTTATTGCACTTCTCATTGTTTGTTTACTGCCATTCAGGTCAAGTCTAAACCGAAAGCAGGTTACATGAGAAAACAGCCAGACATCACAAACAGCATGCGTGCTATTCTAGTGGACTGGTTGGTGGAAGTGGGAGAAGAATACAAGCTACAGAACGAGACTCTTTACCTGGCTGTAAACTACATTGATCGCTTTCTGTCCTCCATGTCTGTGCTGAGGGGGAAACTGCAGCTGGTGGGCACGGCTGCTATGCTTTTGGCTTCGTAAGTGTATTTTTACTATCCCTAAAGTGTTCATTTCAGTCATAATTTTAAACTTGTCTAAAATCTTTACTGAAGTATTGTTGTAGGCTTTAACTGTTTTAAATGAGCTTTAATTTTATTATGTCAAGGTACCTCCAAATGTTGACTTTTTTTCTTCTGGCTCCAGCTGTACCTTTAGATATGTAGGCTTTTTTTAACTTGTGGTACTATATAAAATTACATTAGGTAATTTTCATAAGAAAATAAAAATAATGAAGTAATTTGAGTTGCTAAATCCTACTCTACAATACATTTTGAATCGGATAAGGTTGTGGTTTTGCAAACTAACAATGTTTATCATTTTCAAACTTTTTAATTGAACTTTTACATTTAGCTTTAATCAATTCGCATATAATTGAATTTTTCAGGTCTTTTTTTTTTTTTTTCCTCTTTTCAATAACTATCCCTACCGCGTGTTTATGCGCCAATGTGACCCTTCTCCTTTAAGGCTGGTTTATTCTTCTGCATGGGGTACTTGCGTATGGTCTGGCGCAGTCTTTATGCAGTTGCATCTCAAATGTAACTACATGACACTCCGTAGCACAAGCTCTGTGATTGGTCAGCTTGTGGTGATGTGCAAAAGTGGCACGGAGAGTAACACTCAACGAGGGTCACTGCGATTACTTGACACAGAAGTATAAATCAGCAAGGCTAAGGCTGATTTATACTTCTGAAGCCACATCTGATCTTTGGAATCCATCTAAAATTGTAGAATTTTTATCAAAAGGAAATCTTAAACTGTTTTAGATTTTTACTTATTATTATTTATGTATTTTACCCTTTACATTATTTATTGCTGTTGATTACTTTTAATTGTTAGAATATTTTTTTAATTATAGAAAATTGGTGTTTTTAAAAAGTGATAAACTTGATCTATTTTCTTTTTGCCTTGAAATAGCCATAGAAGCTGAAATGGCAATAAAATTGCATCTCTCTCTCTCTGATCTTTGGTCAGGTAGGGCTATGGACCCATTCTTGAGCCTTACTTTGCACTACATTGACGATGATTGTAGCTGCGCTAGAGATGCCTTGATGGCATATTTTCCATTGCATTAAAATTATTATTTACATTAATTTCATTACAGAAGGATACTTTTTAATATAAAATAGTTTTTTCTTAAGAAAAGTGGCTTTGTTTTAGGCAATGTGTGTTAATTTCAGTTGTTTAATGTTGATGATCAATAAATATAAATTGAAGGAAACAAACGCTGATTTCAAAATCAAGTAATGCACCTTACATTAAAAAAAACTCTCACTTGTAATATGCAAGCATATTTATTGTACACAACTTGTCAGTGAACTATGAGGACAAATAAATAAATAAATTGCTCCTTAATCCATAATCAAGTCAATGTTCATTTACCAAGATTTAGATTTTAGGCCAAACCGCCCAGCTCTACCCCAGCACTTCAAGTGAACTGTCTTTCCATTTGTAAAACTCCCACCTTAAATTTCTTTAAAAATCTGTGATCTTGCCTGATTGGATATGTAAAGTTTATTTATGAACTACTTTCGAGATAATCACATGCTTATGATTTCACGGTTCTTACGGGTGCTGGAAATCCTGGAAAATGCTTGATTTTTAAAGAGCCCATATTATACATGAAATAGGGTCATATCTTGGTTGTAAGGGTCTCCAACAACAGTTTAATATGCATGCAAGGTCAAAAAACACTTTCATGGTCTTATAATCTGCATTTATTTTTACCTAATTATCCCAGCGACTCCCGTATGAATCGTCCAGTGATTCATTTGTTCCCAAACCCCTCCTTAGCGCGAAGCTAATCTGCGCTGATTGGACCGATGACGGTCTGTCGCGATTGGTCGACTGCCTTCAGTCAGAGAGTGAAATGGCCAATAGCCAATCAGCAATATAAAAAGTAATCACAGTTCATACACGCTCGATAGTGTAGGCGTGGATTTAAGCTGCCACACACACACACCTCCGGACGACAACGCTTCCGCCCGCACCCGCCAGGTTTTAGCCTGAGAACCCGCTCCATTTTCTGCCCGCCGCGCCTGATCCCGCTAGAGCGGAGGAGAACACAACCAAAAATCACCCAGTATACAGTCCAGACAGCCAAGCTGTCTGTATAAACACACACACAGCACCAAGCACACAAATCTCTCTCTCTCTCTCTCTCTCTCTCTCTCTCTCTCTCTCTCTCTCTCTCTCTCTCTCTCTCTCTCTCTCTCTCTCTCTCTCTCT